AAAAAAGAAAAATATCGCCTTAGATTATATATCGAGTGTCTACTGTTCGTCGCGATCGACCGGGATATATGTAGACAATATAAGATGATATTTATTATGATGATACAATACTTTCTATACTGATAACTATTTAAATGACAGAAAATTTCACTGTCTTGAATAAAAAGCATTTTATTCTAAATCATTGGTAATATTTGCTATTGATTGTCAAGATTGCCAAAGATTGGCTTGATTGCAATCAGCTTTTTCTCCCTTGACAAGTTAACTATCTTAAAAGAACTACTTCTTAACGAACATGCTGGCTTCGTTTGTGTTAAAATTTTTTACCTAGATACTTGCTTTTTTAGACAAAGAAATTGGTTTTACAGGCGATAATTAATTTTTGTGAATTTATACTGAAGAGCACGTTTCTGATTAAAAAGACAGCATTCAAATTTAAAATTCGAATGTCAAACGCATGATGAAAAAAATAAGAGCATTCTCATATGTGATCAACATAGAAATATTTAACACTTAATAAACCATTCATAAAAGAATTTCTTTATCAACAAAGAAGTTTCCGATGTTGTTCGTTGTTTATGACGTACTTAAAAAGAAAGCTAACTTGTCAGACCCTGCTAATTTTTTCTTCGTTTAAAAAAAAAGACTTAAGATAAAACAATTGACTATCAATTAGTCAACTAATGAAAAGATAGTCACCAATAAACTGATTATACTATCAATTATCAGACAGAAAGTGTTATTGTTATTTTTCTTTTTCTTCCGTAGAATAACACATAAATATACGTTATTGTATTCTATGTAAGTCATTCAATTCAATCGGCGAGTAGATAATAAGTAAGCATCTATTTTAAAAATAATGTATTTACTTTTCAGGGGTGTTGCATTACAATGCACAAGGTTTAACAATGCATTACAATTACAATGAAATCATTATTATTACTATTGCTGTTTTTTCTCATAACAACTCTTCTTAAAACGCTGAGACTAACCTATTCATTTTTCTCTTTTTTTGAATGTATTATCATCTATCAATGACAACCAACCAGTCCTGATATCAAAAATAAAAATATGTCGGTATAAAACACAATAAATTAATTTCTTTTTGTGTCTAACTCTAGAGGTGTTATAATGATGTCAAATTACAATGCAATTATAGCTTATTTTCTTTTTTGTTTTAAATAACTTCAGAACAAAATAACTTACTTATAACTTCTTCTCATTTAGATTGTTCAAAAAAACTATTCGACGAAATTAAAATTCAATTAAACACTAAAATAACATGAGATGAGACGAGATGAGAATGAGCGATTGAGTTGAGTCGAAAAAATAATTATTATTCCGGAGGGATTATTACAAGTTAAAATTTATTTTTAACGCAAAAAAATTACAAAGCAAAAAAAGAGCCACTCATTGTTACTAGCAACGGCAAAATAGTGTAGAACTAAGAAGGCCTTTTCATGTACACGAGGTCACCGTCGTCGTATTAGTGCGTCATACCTTGTGCACATTGCCCTACCAGTCTGGCGTAGTCCACTCCATGTGTACCTGTTTCATGACCATCGGGCTCTTCCTTGTCGCGCGCGCGACTATTAACCATTAACTAATAATCATTTAAACTATTTTATTAGGCGAATACTAGGGAAAATAAACATTTACAACTTCTTTTTCACTGCTGCTATACTATTCATTACGTTCTTAATGCTGGGATGTGTTGAAGGAAGTCACTTTCGAAAAAAAACAAGTGCTTTTTCTAGATAGGAATATGCTGTCGAGTATTCACCCATATTGTAATACACTAGACCTATGTTGTTGTACGATTCAGCAAAATCGGGATGATTCTCAGGCAGAGATATATCTCTGATTTCGAGTGATTTTTCGTAAAATTCAAGTGCTTTCGCGTATTCACCCATGCTGTTGTAGGCTAGACCGATGTTGTTGTAGGAAGTACCCAAATTCGGATCATTCGCAGGCAGGGATATTTCCCAGATTTTATTTTATTTTTCCTAAAATTCAAGTGCTTTCGGGTAATCGCCCACCTCATTGTACACTGAGCCAATAGAGCAATATGAAGTACCCAAATCGGAATGATTTGGAGGCAGAGATATTTCTCTGATTTTGAGCGATTTTTCGTAAAATTCAAGTGCTTGCTGGTATTTGCCCATGCTGTTGTACACGACACCAATAGAGCTATATGAAGCAGCCAAATCGGGATGATTCGGGGGCAGAGATATTTCCCCTATTTTGAGTGATTTTTCTAGATACGAATGTGCTGTCGAGTATTCACCCATATTGTAATACACTAGACCTATGTTGTTGTACGATTCAGCGAAATCGGGATGATTCTCAGGCAGAGATATATCTCTGATTTCGAGTGATTTTTCGTAAAATTCAAGTGCTTTCGCGTATTCACCCATGATTTTGTACGCTAGACCGATGTTGTNACACTAGACCTATGTTGTTGTACGATTCAGCGAAATCGGGATGATTCTCAGGCAGAGATATATCTCTGATTTCGAGTGATTTTTCATAAAATTCAAGTGCTTTCGCGTATTCACCCATGCTGTTGTACGCTAGACCGATGTTGTTGTAGGACGTAGCCAAATCAGGATGATTCGCAGGCAGAGATATTTCCCAGATTTTGAGTGATTTTTCTAGAAGCGGAAGTGCTTTCGAGTATTCACCCATGTTTTGATACAGTTGACCGATGTTGTTGTTGGAAGTAGCCAAGGAGGGATGATTCGGGGGCAGAGATATTTCCCTTATTTTGAGTGCTTTTTCTAGAAGTGGAAGTGCTTTCGAGTATTCACCCATGTTTTGATACACAGTGCCGATGTTGTTGTAGGAACTGGCCAAATTGGGATGATTTGGAGGCAGAGATATTTCCATGATTTTATTTGCTTTTTCTTGAAGTGGAAGTGCTTTCGAGTTTTCGCCCATATTTTTATACACTCCACCGATGTTAGCATAAGTAGCAGCCAATGAAGGATCATCTTCTTGAATAGTGTTCCGCTTGATTTCGAGTGATTTTTCGTAGAATTTAGCTGCTTCTGGGTATTTGCCTTGCTGGTCTTTCAACCATCCAAGCTGGTGATAGATAATTGCTCTCTCGGTATCAGTAGAGGCAATCTCGAGTAATTCATTGTACAGCTCTTCAGCTGGATCGAAATGTCCCACTCGGAGCATCAATGTACCCATTCGGTACCATCCTGTGCCGCCAATCTCCTCTTTGATACGATTGGTCAGAGCAGAAAGTTGCTGATCATTATCATCAGTAATAGCCAAGTGTACTTCCCAAGGACGTTTGTCCTTTACCGTCTGGTTAATTTCAACGACTCGAAAAACAGTGTGCATTGTAAAGAGGATTTCTTGTTCTGATCGAATAGCACTGTGTTCATCAATCAAAGCGAATGGAGTATTCGAAGTTGATATTTTACTTTGATCAACAGTCATAATAAAAATAACGCCAACAATGTCTTCGTTCCTTCTCATAGAACGTTCAACAAATTTCATGCCCACTTTTGGTTCCATACTTGTTGATAGGAAATTATTGAACGACAGTAGACCACCTTTTGAATCTAGTAGATTCTGAAAATCTTCTTTGCTCATTCCCTGACCACGATAAACGGTAAATGATTTCTTGAATTTGGCCGATTGTTCCTGATGCAATTGTTCCAGTTGACGATGAAGACTTCGAATAAAAAAGCCTAATTTGACCATCGCTTCCATATCAAGCGATCGTAACCCACGATTAAGCATGCCATATAGAAACATTTCACGTGTATACCACCAAACCGGTGATTTCTGGTGGTATTTGTGCTTTAATTCATTTATTTGTGCTGCAGGAATATCTTGTTGTTGGCAAAATTTCACTAAAGTGTTCATAGATTTTTCGTCATCATCATCATCGATTTCTAATATAATATCTTTAAAAATCACCGAGTACATATAAGTTGGCGGTAATTGATCAAGATTTTTTGGATCAGAGCCTGTTGCTCCTTCTGTCACCGTTTGCTTCGGAACGAAGCTCATTGGAATTGAATCATGATCACACTCATGGGCGACCTCTTTCAGCGATTCACATATCGACTTGATGGAGGTGAAAACACCTCGAATCTTTGGCCAATCTTTTGCCCATGGTTCATGGTGCGCCTTGTTGCCACAAAAGATGTAAATGGCATCCACTTTTGGCATACCATGAATGTCACTTACGAGGCTTTGTCCTAAAGCACCAGATGAAATGACGAAAGCTTTTCCATCGTCCATTTCATTGAGGAACTCGATACACCCTTCGGGTGTTGTGCACATATTCACTTCACTTACCGCTGCGCGCAATTGTGCCAGCGTATTACGGCAGTCTTCGATGTTTTCATCGATGTTGCCATCTACCCAAATAACCAAATAATTTTGAACCATACGACGTCTTAGGCGCATGGCACCTGATGATGCAGTTGATGTTAGAATAGTTGAGTTGGGTTGTTTTTCGCCCATAGTGTGCAGTGTCTGTTACGTGATCAATAATCGAGAATCGTGAGAATTGTTCTGTTATTTAGGCAGTAACTATTATTTCTATTGATATAGTCGGTTCCTTATCTTGTTTTTCTAAATATTTCACAACATAAAATGCTTATGTTTCGTTTTACTTTACTGACAGTCACTAATAAACTCTACATAGCCTCACAATTGAAAATATCGTTATCAGTAAATAAGCAAGCAAACGAGGGAAAAAATCAACAGCGTCATTTTTGTAGTTTTACTATTTCCAATTCTCGTTTGTTTTTCATCTATAAGATAAGCTGAGTGAAATTGTGTTATATGTCTTATCTTTTGTCTTGCTTATTGTTGACTGACTCTTTCAGTATGCAAATTTTTCTTTATCTAACAAGAATGAAGAACACAATAGTGTCGTTAGTTTGATTGTTGTCCTTCTGTTTGCAGTGGATTTGGTCACGTTGAGAATAAAAACTCAACAGAATGTAAATTGAATTAACCTTAAGTAACACACGAGAATATCTCTATTTCTTAAATAAGGTGCTGTCATACTTAAAGAGATGCATTCAAGAAAAGAAAACTGTTCATACTGTGCATTTTAGCTCGCAACTGGTGGATTTTTATTCATTTGAGATAAAAGAAAAACGTTAATTGTTAAATTGTAACATACTTTTGGAAAAATCTATCTTGATTTTCCGAGTAACGCAGAAAACAAGCTGAAATTTTATGATCATAAATATGAAAGCAAATCTCTGAAAAGATAGAGAATTATATTTCATCGAATTTCAGTAATGGGTATGATTCAATTTAAAGTATCATTGGTATACTTACTTTAAAAGATTTTAATACAAAAGATTTCTATGAAATTCAATGTCAATTTAGTAACATACACGAACAATGGAAATACAGAGTAGAATTATTGATTAGATATCATTCACATAACACATTATTAAAGTAATGAAGTTAATATATTATCAGATTAGATCTTATAGCAATTACTAAAAAAATGACAGAAATCATATATAAACTACTCTAAAAAGTAATAAACTGAAAACAGTGATTGAAATCTCGTATCTACATGTTGATTCAGTATTCTGTTTTGTTGGTGTGAATGCTATTCTTGATCACCGTTATCGCCATAATCATGTGCTAAATGCAGAGGTGAATCAGGACTAGTTTATATCAATTCTAATCCTGAACGACGATGACCAGCTGAATCTGGTTGAGATTTTTCATCCTCCCATGTTTTAAAATGCATTGGCTGTTCAAGATTTTCAGTTGACTCGTGTAGCATTCGAAGACACATCATAAATAATGATAAGATTACATAGTAATTGTGGAACGGGGTGAAATAATATTAAAACTTCAGAAGCAAATCTTGTCAATTGAGAAGTAAAAATACATTTTCGATCAAAATGAAAAGCTAATTCACCTGTTCGAAATAAAGAACCTATGAGACTAAAGTTTATACTACTTTCATAAATAAGTAATATAATATTTTTATGTTAAGTATAGACAAGGGAACCTTTCCAAGTCTAAAATTTAACTCTATTCATTCAAATGATCTTAGTGAGCAAATCAAAGTGTCTGCGATAACTCAATTTTCCAAACTTCGCTCAGATTAAACGATTCGATGATGTTTATTAATGCTGGAAAATTTCTGTTCCAACGATAGTACTCAACAATGTTACATTTACAGACACTGAAATTCTTTGGATTTCATGTCAATATGACATTTCAAATATGATGATGTATTTTTGGTTTGATTTTTGAAATTGTATCTGATTGATGATTCGAATTGATTCACTAATGCATGTATCTATAATCCTTCTAAAGTACTCAACTCAGGTACAAAAAATTACTGTTCTCCATGCTCTTTTACTTAATTTAATTAAATCATCAATATACAACATATTTATTTTTATTAAGGTTTGAAAAAATCTATCGATCTAGTAACATTAACAATAGCTCATCCGTATGAATATAATTTTTACAAACTATTTCTTTAAATATAGTCTTATAAGAAAAGAAAGTATTTTTCTACATTCGAATTTCAAATAAATATGTTGCTACTAAAAATAATTGGCTACTTTAGAAAAATGCTAAATTGAAGATAAATAAATAATCGAAAATATGTGTTCATAGTGAGAACTTCGAATTTTTGTTTTTTATCATAGCCAATAGCGATTTGAGGATGTTTTGTGGAATTCAACAGAAAACACGAACTAATACTCAAATAAGTTATCTAAAGGTTTCGCTTTTTGTTAATCTGTGTATAGAGAACAGAAGTGTAATAGAAAGAAAGGCAGTACAGTCTGATATATCTATTTCAAATAGCCTGGAATTTCAACGAAGTAAAAGAGTGAATTGTAACTCTTTTGTGTTGAATACTATCATCGCCGTGTATAAATACTTACTCGTATTCAATCCATGAACAGTAGTTAGAATATTAATTCTTTAGATGTAGGTGATTTATTGAATGTTCATGTTTAATTTATGGCACTACAATAAAATTTTATTCCATCTAATTGTAAACTTCAATGAGACTCGTGTGTTCTAATTTGGAAGTATTTTCGTATCGGTGATCTAGTTCACGTTTTATTTTTACATTTCATATCTAAGATAAATTACTTTTGTACAGCATGATTCACTTATTTTTGTTCGTTTTCTTCAATTTACTGTAGTTTCATAAAAGTGATTACATGCAAGTTTTGCATACTTATATTTTACTCAGATCAAGATTTTTTCTAAGCTGGAGAAGAAAATAAACTTTTGCTGTTGAATTTTTCTATGATATCGAATGTATCTATAGAACTCGATAACTACAACAGATTAAAATTAGATAAATCAATACAGTAACTGTTGTTCTATTCAACTATATATTACTGAGAAATACTCTAATAATTGGATGGCTATAATTTACTCGACGAAAGTCATCTGTTGAACGTTTTTTTTAGGAATGGAATGGGCGACAAATGAATAATTTGATAGAAAAATTGAATAAAATGTGTAAAAAAAAGTAAATCATCCTGTATCTGAGAACAATACAATGTTGAGACTTCGAACTTGATAAATATAGCTCGACTCATAACTAACCACGCGTACTAATTCAAAAAAACAACATAAAGAGAGATCAATAGCTATCAAGTGACGTACTAGTCTGAAGAAGTAAAATATGACAATCAGTGTGAGTGATCATAGTAAAAAGAGGGATGAAAACAAATTCAACGTTTCTTTCAGTTTATCTTTTCATTGATCATATATATCAGCAAGTCCAATAAATTGCTTTTAGAATAAATGTCTTCATCGTTTCTCTCGAATCGATTTCGTTGAATGAAAAAAGCAAGGCATTTCATTTCTATACAATATGCACACAAATACATCAGGCAGATTCGCATCTAGATGCATGACATGTATGATGAGTTTAATGAGAATTTTAGGTCGCGTATTGCGAACATCAAGATAATATCTGACAGAATTTCTAGGGCGAACAGATTTCAAGTCTTCTTTTTCGTAGGAGTATCTATCAAATACTAGAAAACTAGCTGAATTATTTAATTGTGCTTATAAATAAATAGAACACGCAGAATATCTGTATTGGTGCTATTGATTTCAACGATACTCTTTTCGTAAGAATATGGTATCTTCATCATATGAGACAATTACTTGACTCTTTTATAAAAAAAAAACTGGCATAGTTGATGGGTATGGATCAAGTTGTAATCATAAGAAAGTTCTAGAAAATGACATCGGATATATGGGACTGTATGTCGCATAAGTAATAGTAAATAACGGAAATATTTATCTTGTATTTTTGTTGCTGTTGATATGAATGTCTCTGGCTATAGACTAGCGTCTAAAATTAAAGAGTCATCCTTCAGACTGGTACCATATTGCTTCTACAATACTATTTCTATTGAGATTAGCATTCATCGGTGTCTTAAGATAGAAAAGTAGAAACACAGAGAAAGATCAACAAATACGAAGTCCTATTTACTTTGTTATTTTGTGAGACATTCGCAGGCTGCTGCGCTCCATAGATAAATCAAAGGAAAATTATAAATAAATGCAAATCACCATATTGTTTGGTAACATGTCGGCAATGGATTCGAGTGTCAGGGAATGCTAGAATAAGTTCTCTCGTTGCTATTTTCACTTATTTCAGCTAAATCTTTTTTTGAAAAGATTCTCCATCTGATTCCCAACAAACGAATCCAATAGAACAAAATAGAAAAACTTCATTCTAGCAATATACTTATTAGAGTAATATTGTCAGTATAGAATATTGATATCCTGTTTCGATGGATTTTTATGACGAAATCTTATTGTGTACAAGGAGTTATCTAACGAAAGAAAAAACTTTTCTTTTTATTTAAGAAAAGAATTTACACGAGAAGAAAGTTTCATTTTGAAAATTCTTAAATATACAAATAAAATAGATCTTCACCAAGTTGAAACATCAATCACGCATTAATACTCCAGCAAAATTTTAGTCTTTACTTTTATGGGATGCGTGTTCATTTCTCCAGAGAATCAAATGTTGAATATTTTGAAAAAAAATTCAGTTCAAAGTCCTCTACGAGTAATCAGTCTACCTGAAAGAGCAAATTTCGTCTTTGGCTAGAAAAATACCTACATATCTGTACTATATCGGTTTGTGCTAGTTCATGGTTTTCATTATTGGAAAGTTTTTGTTTTCTCCATCATCACTAACTCTCTCTGTGCTGGTTACTATAAAAGCCTTATGTCTGCTTGACCAAATACCAGTATCGATTTTTTTATCGCTGCTCTACAGATAAAAAGACTTTTGTCGAAATCAATTTGTATCGCTACTTCATCTTATTCTCAATTATTGAGAAAATTCCATTCGTGCTTCGCATCGCATTTTGTATTCTGGTGAAACTCGAATACCATCTAGTATGAATTTGTTTTCGAAGTAGAAGATCCAACAGAACCTAGATCCAAAAGCCCAATGAGAAAACTCATAAATCTTACTACTG